AAGAACAAATGAATGAAGTCAAATCAATACTTGAAAATACCTCTAAGTAAGTACCTGAACATCTAATGTGTGCTGTTCATACACAGTCATCATACCATGGAGACTAGACAACTGTCCAAACTCATAGTTGTTCTAAACTGCATTTAGAACAGCATTGAAGAAAATGTCTTTCTTTCTTCTGTATCAAATGAAAACAGTGTTACACAGAGAGTCCCATATCTGTGGTTTCATGACCTTGGTTTTTAGAACCGCAAAGCAGATTTTACTGAATTTACCTCAGTGCAGCTTTTTCTTTCTTTCTCCCCATGATGGTAACTCTTTAGTGATTTTGAAAGTGGCTTTAAGTGTTAGGACTGAAAGTTGACTTCCAAAGGCAGGTGGAGACAATTTTCAGTAGAGCACACAGGAACTGGATGCTTTTGGCCTGTTCTGGTCTATTCAGTTTGCTTACATAGCTGTGTCTGTCAAAATCATGTGGCAGTGTAGCCTTTTGTTACCATCCCTATGTGGGAAGAAGACCCTTGTATAGATACAGCAATATGACCACAGGTAATTTATATTTGTCTACTAAACATATTTTTGTCAATCTAAGACTTCTTGGGATTTTTGTGAGGTCTACCCAAAGAAAGTTTGTGACAGGAAAGCTAACGTATGAGTACACAGGTCAAGCTTTGAATATAGACATAGTGGAAATCTCCTCAAGAGTCAAAGAGGACATCTCTTTCCTCAAACTGCTCTCAGAACCCTGATACTACAGGTTTCTAGAGTAATTCTTTCATATTGGGTTCCCACCTTCAACTTGTATTAAGAGCTGGAAAGACAGGGTATGTTGCTCAATATTTTCCTTCTAGGTCAGCCAACTTCAAGAACTTTACCTTCATCCAGTTGAATGAAGAATTTTCCAGGGGGAAAGGATTAGACATTGGTGCTCGATTTTGGAAAGGAAACAATGTTGTTCTCTTTTTTTGCGATGTGGACATACACTTCACAGCTGAATTCCTGAACTCCTGTAGATTGAACACACAACCAGGTACTGCTACTCGTGAAGCACATCTCTTTCAACAGGTTTTTACCTATTGTGTAAAAGCCTTCACCAGAGTATTCTTGGTAATGAATTGGCAATGAATTGGTAATGAAGCTACTGTAAATCGGTTGT